TTTGTCACCATGCAAACACCTTGTCTCACCCCGAGCTAAGTCAACATTGTTTCATCAGTTTGGAAAATTCCTGCAAAATGGGAGGTTGGTTGGTGTTCCCATTGAGGAGGAGAAGATGGCCAACATACGTCGACACTGGCACACACGTATAGGATGGCAGCAGCTGGAGTGATGGGAAATGTTTAACTTGGCAAGCAATCACGTTTCTTAGAAAGCATTTCTTATGTTATCATCTTATCTTCTTTCTAGCATCCGTATACATGGCAACTCTCTTCTCAGACAATCTACTCCAGTCTCCCTGACAGGGAGGAAGAGGAAGCACAGGACTGGTCCATATGCAGGAGTTTTATTACAAAATAAGACACATTTCAAGATCTTGACATTGCCACTGGCATACAGTGCATTATGGCCAAAACTCCCAAACTTTTTGGCTTGTAACCCCTTAATAGCCAAGCAATTTCCCATCCCAACCCTTTGTGATTGGTAGAGTGTGTCTTTAATATGTGACATTAACTAAGGAGTGTCGTTCCTCTCTCAGATTTTTTTAAATTTTAATAGTTTTTTAGTCCTGAAAAGGTTAAACTAGTTTACATAAGGGAGAAAAACATAGAAAAGTCATACAAATAAACGTTATAGTGCGGAAATATTGTCTCGTCTTCTTTCCTATCTTGTGTAGCAACCCCTTGCGGGCTCTGAAGCACAGTATTGTGGCTTCATGCAATTATCACAATATAAAAACTGATTACCATTCATTTTTGTAAAAAACATTAAAAGATAAGTTCATCACAACTACACAAGTTACACAACTCCTTTTCAATATAAAGTGTTATTATGCCTTAAATCAGCCTTAATCAAGCTGTTATCAGAGGCTGTTTTCAGTTTTAGGGGCAATTAATGTATGATTTGTTTTGTTTAATTTAGTTGATCTTGCACTGAAGATCACACTAGCACCTTAAATTCTCATAATTGTATGTATTTTTTGAGAGAACCAGGACACCATACACACCCATTCTAAGCTGAACTGTGGGTTAGGCTGAGTACGAGTCCATAAATTGACCTTGGCACTGCCTGAGTCAACTCTGTAGAACACTGCCCTCGCTGTTAGTTTTACTACTGGCAATTTTAAAACTGCTGAGGCTTTGTCATCATACAGTGGCTCACAGTGACTCAAGCGGCCTTACATGGTCTCCCCCATGGGTCCAAGGTCAATAAGAAATTCTGCTCCGCCCACATCACTTCCCCAGGATGTGCATTTTTAGATTATGGACCACAAGAAAGCTGTGATTTGGTGTAAAAAAAAACATTTAACATCCACTTCTTTGTTTTCATAATATAACACACTTAAGCTCAGTATCTGGTGTCCCCATCTGACTGCACAATGCTTTAACCCACGAGGACAGGCCTGTGCTATGCTTATCTAAATAATCATATGCAATGCAAAACAAACAGCAGCCTATAGGCAGACTACCGGGGCACTCACAACCTGTGGCTGCACATCACATTGGCAAGAGAAAAGTAAGTAACAGAGGCTGACACTTCCCCGAGCATCAGGAGAGGAGAGGGGCTGGAGTGGGAACAACACAGCAAACAGCGACCACCATGACGGGGGAGGGGGGGGGATGCAGGAAGAAGATGCCTGTACATATGAACGCGATCATGCGACTTGACTTTACGTGAGTGCACGTTACGAACATAAATAACACGAAAGTCGTTTATCACGAACACATGCCACCCACTCCCACTTACCGTTCGGCTTTGGCACCTGTCAATTCCTTAGAAAACTAGACCGAGTAAAGCTGACAGTGCAAGTAGTCGTTAACAGAGCCTTCCAGACCAGTCGCCGTCTTTCTTTCCCATTCTGTTGTCCACTCCCCTCACTGAAGCAATTTGTTGAATGGGTTTCGGGGGCCGGAAAAAAGTTACATCTCGGCAAATTGCCAATTTTTTTTTATTCCCGCGCCTGGTTTGTTGTTATTTTGGAATCAGTGTGTGTATATGGCTGCTGCCCTTTCGCCTCAGCTCGGGATGCCCAAGATGGAGGCTTGCGTGTACCTGTCATGCAACATGCGCAGTAGCGGCTGCACTGGAGCCGGAGAGCATCATCAGTCCTCCCATCAGCACCACGGACAGCCGCTCCCCGCCCGCCTCCACAGCCACAGCCGCCGCTGAACGCTCAAACATGACGTGACGGCAGGGGAAAAAAAGAAATGTTCTCGTTCACGTGATGGACGCAAATGCCTCACTATTTATGGCCAGTGGCCTGCGTGGTATTTAGCGGCAGATAGACGTGAACAATGAGGGCTGTATAGACCATAAAGCAGAGACCGACGGCAAATTATGGATGCAATACAGTTCAGGCTCAGGGCTTCTGTTTGTGTTTACTGGTATATAAAGAGCATAAGGCTTTACATAGACTCATTCGTAGGCTATGCCATTATACAATCTAGTTATTCTAAATGTGAAAATACACGAATAAATGAACAAATTAAGGACCAATCTGTAATTGTCTCCGACCGTACATTAACGGAAATTATAGACCTATTTTTTCTGATGTGTGTACAAACATCCATTATATAGACAAACATTTAATCATTAAAGAACGAGAGAGAGAAAGAGAAAACGATCACACCACAAGGTCCATTTATGAGCTGTTACAGACGTTTTCATCTTCTCATCTCTTCATGTCACATGATCTTCATCAGCAGATGGAGATTAAAGTCCTTCAAGAGCGCAGGAAAAAATAAATAAATAATGTTGGCCATCTACGATTCCATGAGAAGTCAGCTGCTGATGAAGATCACGTGATATGATTAAAAGCTCCAGAACAGCTAACACTAAATGGACCTTGTGGTGCCGAGATTTAGCTGTGAATCTGTCTGTTTGTTTACATCTTGGTGAATGAATGAATTGAAGAACAGATAACAGAAGCAGTGAGTGATGAATGAATGAATGAATGAATGAATGGTTTATATGAGTAGCTTGGAAAAGGTCCACACTATTACAAAGCTCATCAAATATTATCACTTAATGTGGTCACACCATTGATTTTGAGTTTAAGGACTTTTATGTGACAAAAGATTAATGTTCCTCTTAAGTACATTGTGCTTGGAGCTGAGCTTTCTGCTGGTGGGGAGGAAGTAATCTTATGTTGTCGTTTCTCTACAAATCAGAGGCTGAGAAGTTGTAAAACACTTGTCTGACAATGTGTGTGTGCAGGAATCTGTGTGTCTGAGGCTCAGATTACAACTGCAAATATGAGTTTCCTCTGTGAGATCGGATAACATCTTTAAAAACTTGTTTAGGTGGAGTACCCCGCCTCACCTAAAGGAATTTAGTTTACAAACACATTCTTTTGCATATAACAGATATCAGCAACTTAAATATCAGTATTTTTATCAGTTGAACCTGAGTTTTTCAGTTTTAACTGAAGTCAAAATGGCTCATATAAAAAAATATTATAGTGTAATGAAATCTGAGTCAGTCTTTACAAATTGGTCACAAATAGAATTGATTATCTTGGCGATGATAGAAATTACTTTTAATTTTTTACATGCCACAAATAGAACTCTTTTATGAACCACCACATTTGCCGGCCTTCGGTTATAACTTCTCTGCATAAAGAACCTTTACAAAAGTCAGAACTGTTTAGTGGGATCACATTAAAAGAACGGAGCAGGAAGCGCGATCTTTTGTTCTTTCGGTGCAAGTAAAACCCATCATAGAACACAACTGAGCTGATGTGTTTCCCACAGTTGTGATCCATATTTCATTCATCACTTTATGTCAAACAACTTGGGCGGCCTTTTCCACGTCGATCCCCGTGGTATAATTTTGACTGACAAGGCATTCCATTTGCATACACAAATTAATCAGCACCATATGCATAGAGATTAATGATTTATGTCACAGGGCATGGTTCTGGTGTTACAATCAAGAGGCTTGCAATCGAGCACAAGGATCCTTTTGTGTTGTCTACAGAAATGTTCACTGGCTGGCTATGAGCCATGTGGCTGATGGACAACCATGTGCCATTCCAGAAATATGTCAGGCTGGATTGAACCAATCTATTGTGGTTATACCTGGTATGCAGACCACATTTCTACTACTACTGTAGTTCAGAAGAGTTATATGTGTTGTCACATTCATATTCAAATGAAAATAAAGATTTTGACTGAGGGAGACTTGCACAAGTGTTGCTACTAAACATTTTTTCCATGATGTGCTGCTAAGTAACATGTTTGCTTTCAATTCAGAAGTGATGGGAAGTTATTTAACTGAACCCAGAGAAGCTTCATGGACATAAATTCAGATCAGTGACAAGATAAATGCCTTGGAAGGGGACGAAGCACATGAGCTGTCAAATTGAATAAGACTTTGATGAAAATCACGAAGGATGAAGAAAACAAAGTGCAGCAGGATTTGAATACTTTTGACTTGACTTGGATTTGAAGTTATTTTGATGGATGGCACCATTATAGATTGTTGTGAAATGAAAATAAAAAAACTAAATGGTGGGGGATGTGTGATTCTTATTTGTGAATCTCACTGTAAATACTGTTCACAGGATCTAAAGTGTACTCTTCAAGGGGAGTCAGCATGTCTATTATAATAATTATAGTTTAGTTTTAATCTCTTAGCAAGCACCCTTTTTTGTGCACATGTCTGAAATAGACATGCCCAGAATAAAATGGTTACTGCTCTTGAAAGTTTTTACTATAGTCCTGATCTTGGTCTCTTCTGAAAGGGAACTCTAGATCAAAAGTAAAACAAATGACGAATTCTCAATAAAAGTTTTACTGTTTTTTTTTCACCCCTGCTACAAACTAGGCAACTGTTGTTGCAGTGAGACTGGGGTCTTACAGTGGTTGACACTGATAGAATGAGGCATGAGGCTTTGTGCTTCCATATGTATAGTTTGTTAAAGGGAGCATTCAAATGGACATTGTGCAAAAAATGTGCAAATAAAGACTAACGAATGTAAAATCACAAATTCTGCTGGCTCGAGAGGAAAAGTCCTTTATTTTGTGGTTCAACTCCCTCATTACAGCAGTAAACTGGCAGTTTTACAGAACATTGACATGTTCAGGTAGTGATATGGTCCTGTAGTTGCTGAGTTCTCGCTTTGAGTGTCGATCAAGGTATTTCACCTCTGCATGGTGCTTCCTCTATCTGTCCTGTGTACAAAACATGCATGAACCCAAATTAATCCATAATACACATGCTAGAACAGAAGACTTTAATGTGAGACAGATTTGTAACATCTATCAACAACACAAACCAAACACTATCCAAGCTGTACATCTTTAGTATGCATACTTTGTAAATTCAAATTCTGTGCATATTTCTACTCTAATAATAAGAAATATGCATAGGGTTGCAGGCTTGCAGATGTTCTACCTCATACAATTCATTACTGCATAGTGCTGGGCTCCAGTACAATACTGTATTGATGAAGTTTGGCAGTGTAGTAGATTTGACCGCTGGATCATTAAATAAGCAGGTTGCCATAATGGAAACGGAGTCTTCCCAGTCAGCAGATGTTTAGTAAGTGCAACACTAACCGAGATTATGATGGAGGCATCGAGCCAGGAAGCTGTTCAGAGCTCCTTTTTGGACTACTCAGGAGTAAGGAGGGAAATCCTCAAGGAGCAAGAGGTTCTTTCCAAAATGAGATGTCCAGCATTTTTTAAATGTTACTCTCACAATATGACAGTTTGCTGTTGAAGTTTCTAGTAAACTGGTTTTCTTGCAACATAATAGCTCCTCTGTTCATGTAATGAGATGAATTCCTAAGAAATTGAGATGACTTTCTTCAGTATTTATATTATTTCAACAACACAGAAAAACCCACAAGTTCAAATGAGGTATCTTTGTTTTTATGCCAGCTTGTACTAACACACTGCAGATACACCCCTATTTAATTTTCTTTTTCTGAGCATTCAGGAGCAATAACAGATGGAGTCAGACAGCATCACAAAAGTAGCAAGTACATTTAAATCTAATTCACTTCAGGTTCTGCTGTGTAACACTGGCTGCAGACAAATGTAATGGGTACATTTATTGGACATGAATATGAGTGTTTTGGTGGAATTAATGGGTAGAGCACAACGCAAACATACTGTCTGTACTGCCCCACTGGGAACTCATGTACAGTAAGAACTGTTTACAATAACTGTATTTTGTTAACAGCACTGGCACAAAGTGCTTTTGATTTGACCATTGGAATAATTTTGCATATCTTGCAGTAACTGATTAAAGACTCAAAGTGGCTCTTTAATTTGACTATCTCACTTACCTGAATTGTACAGGATGTGGACACAAAGCTTGACTTAATTATTATCTTTTTATACCACTCTATACTTGTACTCAAAGAGAAATATTGCGCTTTTTGCCCCACTACATTCATTTGACAGCTATGGTTACTTTGCAGATAATGATTCTATAAATCCTGACTATTACTATACTTACAATTGGCTCGACTCAACCAGCTAAAACAGCTGATTGCATACCTGCAGCAGTACTAATAAACTAAATAGTATAATACTATATATATATATATATATATATATATATATATATATATATATATATATATACTCTTAAAGTTGTCAACGTGCATATTGGATACTTTGAATTTTCTGATTATATTTAGTTGATAATGCCTATATACTTTTTCTTGGGTAAAACAGTGAACGCATGTCTTTTAGTTGGAATGTTTTTATATTGTAGTATTGCTACTGTTACTTAAAAATGACAGATGACAGAGAGTTGTATCAGCTCCAGTCAAATCTGTGAGACTGTTGTCAGTGTGGAGTTCATGTGTTTGATTACATTTTAAACAGGTGGCCATGTTACTGTGACCACACAACCTAGAACTGATGTTTCTATTAGACTATACTACCCAGGAACAATGTAACCATTGTTCCATTTTCTTACAAAATAGAGCACCAATGTTGAGGGCAACAATGCAACAGCAGGATAAATCTATATTTCCAGATTATCATCAACTAATAAAACTCACTTGCAGGTTATCTTCTTAATGCAGATGATATCCTTTGTGTCGAGCCCCATTTGAGAAGCAGCAGGTTCTCGTCATGATGATTGTCTCAGGTTTCTGAGTCATAAAGTGTGTTTCTCTGAATGGCGACCACAAACCAAGCACTGAAAAACAAATATAACCGGTTATGCTGTAGTAGTGATGGGTGTTTTTAGAGGTGGAAATCAAATATGCGTGAAAATGAAGGCTTCAGCCCCCTGTGACTCTGAACAAGATAAGAAGATTAGAAAATGTATGGATGGATGGTTCCATTAGAAAACAGCAAGTTTAGCTTTAGAATGTATTTGAATCACATGATGGCATGCTTTTCTTTAGCAGAGAGTGGAATCAAAACAAGAGTTATTTTGTCCAAAACGGTGACATGTTCCAAGTACTTGGAGTCACATCAACAAGTGTTGAAGCTGCAAAGGCCTGACTGTAGCCCTCAGGGGCACCACCAGGGGGCTCTGGTTTCAAAGCCAAGTGCAGCCAGGGGCAATTAATCACCATGATGTCACACTTTTCACATCTCAAAGTTAAGCATACAACATTAATATCCACACAACTTCAGGATCTCACCGACATATAAAAGGGTGTCAACATATTAGGAGAGAGCACCCTCAGAGCAAACATTAGTACAACCTTGTATCTGTGTTTTCATTAAGAACTCATCAGGCAAAACAATGAATGTGAAAGACTGCCATTTGTTAGAAATTCTGAGAAAATGTGAGTCATTTCTTTCTAAATTCCTCTGCTGGCCCATTTTCCACTTATAGTGAAAACCAAAGGCAACTCCTTGCAGGACCACACAGCAAAATCTCCCGCTGCTGCCACAGGAGATTTTACCATATAAATTGACTAATCTCAGAGGCCTTTTTCCTTGAAGGTGCAATAATGAGCTGCGATCTGGCAAATTTAGCAAAACATGTCCGCTCCCTTGTGTTTCACTTCATTTCACCTGGAACAAAAACTGGTGTTTTCACAGACACTGTGACAGATGCATTGTGTAATACAGACTGATTGGGAGAGGGCATTTGTTTGTTTGACAGTATGTGTCCAGAAAAGGCAAGCAAATCTAATGGGATTTAGCTGGGAGCCACCGACTGTGAATTCTCTGTTGTATACATTTGTATCTCCAGTCTGCTCACTGGACACAGAGCCCTCCTGGCTGGCATGTCTCTGTACGTTAGCCGTGACCCAAAAGGTCTGCCTTGTTTCTAATTTCCTATGTTTATTATATTTCTTTGTATCAAAGCCTCAACGTTTCACAAGACCACCGTGGAAGCGGCAATCAAATGTGGACAACGAGACAAAATACCCAGCCTTTACAGACAAAACCTCAAGGGGTGAATGAGTGTGAGTGTGAGTGTGTGTGTGTGTGTGTGTGTGTGTGTGTGTGTGTGTGTGTGTGTGTGTGTGTGTGTGTGTGTGTGTGTGTGTGTGTGTGTGTGAGTGTGTGTGCGGAAGAAAGAGGGATTCCACAATGCTGAAGTGCTGACATCTGCTGCAGGCCCTTGCAGGGATGGAATGTGATACTCTCCTTTACACAAAGGGCCTTGGCCCTTGCAGCAGGCACAAGAAGACCTCTATATGCCCCTCTCCACGGGGGCAACACACGTATGAAATGACTGTATCAATGCCCCATGCCTTCCTTTCCCAGCCATTAACTTTGATTAAAACCACAAAACCTTCCTTCATACCTTGATGCTGGAGAGATGGCTGCTCTGCACTCTCTTTGAGGTGGTAGTTTCTGAGCTATGTGAGACTGGGGGTAAATTGCTGCAGCATTGCATCATGTGTCTGGCTCAATGGGTTCAATATGTCTCCAGCTCTCCTTTGATTGTTGTGTCTGTGCTGCGGCAGACTTACCATACAGTGTGGGGATACACTGGTGGATTTTGCCAACAATGAAATGGGAGGAACCACATGAAACGCAGTTGATGAGGTACAACAGTGTGCCGGGGAGAAAGGAAATTGGGAACAGGAGGGAGTATTGTTCCAAGCGGTGTCTCTGCTTTGATATGACAAATTGAGAAGCCCTTAAACATTTCCTTCCACAGAAACATTTAGGCAGAATGCACAACAGTGTGTTGAAAAGTCTTGTGTGGGTACACATTTATCTTTCATCTCTATGTGGGGAAAATGAATCGAGGCTTTAAACAGTCACTCCATGGTTAAAACAAGCTTATTTGGGCATATTTTCTTATGGAAAGTTTCCTTTTGAATGATAAAGCTCCTGATGTGAATATGCACTGTGGACTTCATTGTTTGACCATGTATATGTTCTAAATTTGATGGACCATGATGCACCGACATAAAAATGTAAGCAGCCTACAAAGGGCACAATGATGTAGCCCAATAGAAACAGCAGGGGAAAAGGATATTTGTGAGCACTAACACAGTAGGAGCAAATGGGATATACACAGTAGCAAGTGAATTTTGTCCTATTTAATTGTTCTTTCCCCAAATGTTTTATATTTTGTAAGACAATATGTAGACTGAAAAATTATACACAGAATACACACATCTTCTCATCTTTAGTCTTAAAACTAAACTTTCTTGGATAAAGTGAAAGTTTCAGCTGCTGTAATGTGATTCATTTCTTGATTATCTTTGTAATTGTAATGATTTCAGCACTTGTGGAAAGACTATTCTGGAAAAAGTAAATAACCAATAATATTAGACTTTTGAAACGTGTGTGTGTGTGTGTGTGTTTTTTTTATTCAAAATTGCCTCTTATCAACACTCTCTGGCTCTACTGAGCTGCTTCAGTTATCTGGAGACTCGACACTTTCCCTGGAAACTACTGGAAACATGTGAAACTGTTTGCCAATTTGAGACTGAAAATGGGTGAAACACCTCATTGGACCAGGCAGCAACGGAATAGTTAACATGCCGGGGAGTTTCCTCGTCTGGGAAGTTGTACTTTATGTATAGCACCTGTTGTGCCGTCAGTTGGCAGTCTCCAAAAACCCAACCCTCGCAGCGCAGCGATATTTTATCTCAGTCTCCACCAAGTTATGACTCGAGACCTCGCCAGACAACAGAACTCGTCTCGGTGTTGCGAATGTTTTCTGGGTACAGACTGTATCAGGTTGCTGGACTCTCTCGCTGCCTCTGTGTGTGAGCTTTTGCTGTAATGCGTAAAGATCTGTGGGGATTTATTCAGACTGAGTCGAGAACGCACCGTGGACGCGCGCTTTAACCAAAATGCATCTGTGCCTCTCTAATGACCTCGTTCCATAGATGATATGCCAGTAAAAGGACGCTTTTACAACTAATCCCAGGATTATAATTACTGAAAGCCAAACTTTGTCCAACTCAGTATCCAACTTTCCACAGAACCAACAGGTGCGCACTTGCATTGCGCAGAAGCGGCCACTCTGGAGGCTTTGGAGTCGGATTTGTATTGATTTAGGGAGATATAAATTTCACTTTTTTTTCCAGACGGACTGATGATTAAGATTATGTGGATTCTACTCTGCGTGTACCCTCTCCAAATGTGTCCAAAACAGCACCGCTGTCCTGTAAACGACGCATGTGTGTGGTGATACAAACCATCCCGTCAACAGCGTTTTGAGATCGCCAACCACCACTCATCCAAATGATCCTTCCATTATTATTCCTTCTTGCACCGCTTCTCCAACAGTATGGCTCGGAAGCTGAATCAAGTCACGTCAGCAAATTTCACCCTCCAGGTGTAAAGGAGCAAAACGGTGAGTTTTCATTGCTGTTTGCAGCATTTAGAAAAGTTATTAGACTGAACATGAACTTGGGTATTTTTCACTCTCATAATGGAATGCTTATTCTTGCTGGGCTTAAAGCCATTCTTTTAAAATGCACATCTTGCTTGAGTTTAAACTGCAATGAATGAACGCGTTTCATTCAGTTCAAACAGCATTATCCAGGATAGGAAGTGCAAAATTACCTTTTACCTTTAAAGTGTACCCGTGTATGTTTAAGGGGGAAAACCCTCTGAAATTCCAGGTCCCCCGGGAGAAGTTTTCCCTGTGATCATAAAAAAGGCTCCATTCATGCAGCAGTAGTGGCTCCGGGCGATGTAATTTACTTACCCTCTGAGCTGCGCTATCAAATTCAGAAATCCACTTTTGTCCATGTTTAATGTTAGGCTGAAGTCCATGGTGTAGCTACCTTGAGTTGGAATAAGTCAATAATTACCCTCCAATGATTTCTTGCCATCGTGCTTGGCAAGTTGGGAATCAAGGTCTTTGTTGTTGTAGAGTGCGTTGGGCAGAGTAATCCACTGATTCTTTACTTTTACCCACAAGGCACTGAATTACATACATTATGGTACCAAGTTAGTTATATTATAAACTGCATGAGCTTATATGCATCCGAAAAGAAAACAAGAGCAATAATACCAAATCAGGATATATTGACAATAGAAATATATTTGACCTGCAAGACAGGAGCAGTCTTCAAGTCTATTCAAGTCTAGAAGTAATGTTTTTTCTTCAGTTTGTACCACTTTCTCATAATGCAACAAACAAGGGTTTATAAGCCATACCTAATGGCTCTATTAATAGTTAATAACTTGATATATAATAGCAATCCTTTCTCCATCAGCTGAAGGGATACTTTTTTAGAGTGGGGTCGTTATCAGGTACTTTATATCCATATTCAGTGTATTGCTTAGAGTAGATGGTGGTTGGCATGCCCCCAGTTTGGAGATGTAGACAGAAGTACCGGCACAGAACCGAAGTAATGCACTGCTGTGGCTGGAGGCAGCAACAAAATGCATTTTAGCCACCTGAAAAAATCAACATCGGTTTAGGTGTATGCTATAATTAGAATATTTTCACTGCTTTACCTTGCCGCCAGACAGTCCTTTAACGCTGGGAAACTGAAGCTGTTATATCAATCTGTGCTCCTTTCAATCAGGGCAGCACTGCACCAGCAACTCCTGTGTTCTGCTAAATAAAATTACTGTTTTGTCAAAGCAGTTTTGTGGCTTTGAGAAGAGTATAGATGAGATCCCTTCAAGAATGGCTGTCTGACAGCAAGGTAAAGCAGTAAAAATATTCTAAAGCTGTCATCTTTTTTATATGGGCCTTTTATAGGTGGTTAAAATACCTTTTTCTGCTGCCCTCATCCACAGCTGTGTATAGCTTTCATGCTGGTGCTCCTGTCTGCTTCTCTAAATTGGGGTTGTGCTAACTGCCATCTACTGTAGATGACTCTGGATAAGTACCTCATACAACCCCTCTTAAAAACAACTTTTTAGTTTCGACCCTTAGACATGACACTTTGTCTTTTAACTCTTAAATTCATCAGAAAACCCATCCATTGGACTATTCAACCACTATATAAGTTCATGTTAATAAGTTGTTCATAAATGGATTTTGGTCCAGATGTCCCACAACTCTTCTGAGTGTTCCTGATTAATTAAAGAGTTAGCTGAAAAGACAAAGAAAGTGGTGTTTCGAAGGATTTTTCAAACTTAAAAACAAAAAAATGTTTCTTATGAATGGCTTTTAACTTATCTATAAAGCAATAATGCATTATTTATTAATTATTAAAAAGCAGGTGCCATAAATACTCAAACAAATGCATTTCACTGACATATAAACAGAGATTTATAACAGCATAAAGGAACAACAGGACCTCACAGGTTGCGCTTCGAAGTACCAACATGCCTGTATCCTGCAGATGTTCAATGGTCAAACTTCATTCATTACTCAGTCGTTTATAGCCAGTGGGTTTGACTGGCTTTCTGTGAGGACATGCAGTGCTGACTTCACTACAGTAACAGTCAGGGCTAGGAAATCAGAGCCTCCCGCCGGGATCTCCAGGTTTAATCAGGACGGCTGAGAAAGGAAAACAACAGGGAGGAGAGAGGGAAGGGAGAAGGATGAAGGAGGGGGATGAGGAGGAGGGGGAACTGTGGGGTGTAGAGATGTTAAACTGTCAGAGAACTCTTTAAAACGGCGGTCACACATTGGCTGAGGGCGATGCTGGCCAGGCTGTCTGTAACCTTTGACTGGAGTGTCTGAGTGCTCACCGTTCTGGCGTGCTTGATTGCTGATGGTCTGTGAGACAATTTGATATCGATCTGAGTGAGGGGAGGGAGCCAGACCTGTCTGGCATGTTTAGTAGTAGTTGCCTGGGGAGTTACAGTCCCCAGTCGTATTAAACTTGGCAAGCGGCTGTTGATGACTCCATAAGATATCAGAGGGGGCTGTCTCCCATTGAGGGCCAGTGCTGTAAGAAGTAACCCCCTGTCACAATAAATGATTCGGACAAAAGCTTCAAAAAGGTTAACAGAATGGGCATGAACTCTGAAATGTAAATTTAGTGTGTTGTGATCATAAATAATGTGTACATTTCCTTCCTTCACCACTGAGGGTTATGTTACAATAACATGTATAGCTCATGTCCTTTTCATGTGTTTGCCACATGGCTATAAGGTTTCATGGTTATTAAGAAAAAACATTGCTAAAAAGGACATCTGCAGTTGCACTACCAATATGGATTTAGTTTTAGAAATGAAGTATGGTTGAAAGCAATTATATGTACCCACTACCACCACTACCACAATGGTGTCTGTGAAAAATTCCTTTCTTTCATAAAATACCTTTTTCACAGCAGCCATTTTAACATGAAAGAATAGGGTAAAGACAGGTGTTACAGCTGATACTAATTAAAGTGTCATTCCATTTAGTGTAGCGATCCAAAATGCAAAGTTGCAGCACCCTGACCGCCAGACTCTGTTGGACCTGAATGGAATGCAACCTAAATTAGTATAATTGGTAACACCTTTGTTTACCCTACTATGTCATGCAAGGTGGCTGTGTTATTTTTCAGAGGATGTTGTCAGGTTCATTCTTTCATGATGATTGATAATATGCTAATGCAGTTTTCATTTCCTAAAAATGACATTTCTATACAACTAATTTGCATTGCCAAATATGTTTTGTAAGCAATGTAATGCCGACCAGATTAAGGTTTTTTTTTTTTATCAACATAACATGATTTGAATGTGGTGGCACCATATTCAACCAAAACTACAATCTTTCTTCTTCTTTTTGTTTGTTTTTTACTTGCCTAAACCTAAATGTGATGCAGCATATGAACCACAAACAGCATTCCAGTTTCTACCACAAGGCATTTTGAAAATAAATGTATTAGTATATAAATGTATTTCATAGGAAATAGAGTTGTGATTTGTTATAAAACTACAGGATTTAAAGTCTTTGTATTTAACAGAGTGGTATTGCCGTTAAAGCAAATAGACTCAGGCATATCACAATAAAGCTATTGCTGCACCTTGTCTTCAAGCATATTAACTAACGGCCTCTATAAGCTTGTTTCATTACACTGAGATGGCCTATCTTCATGCTACAGTGTTTACAATGCCTTTTTCCATTAGGCTGTGATTTGCTGGCAGAGCCGCCAGTTGTATAACACTGCACATCCAGCCGAAGATGCATTTCAGCTTCCCAATCACACAGGTCATCTTAGGGGAGGTCTCTTCATATCCCTTCTCTTAGTTAAGTGGTCTGGCCCTCACTTTCCTGCTAAAGGCCATGTTTTCACCCCCACCTAGCCCACCCATAAGCACAGGTCCAGGCCTTATTAGAAAAATCCGGCTGCAAATATTAGTAGGAGATGTGGATTACCTGCAGATATTCCCACATATCCCCCCTGAGCGCCACTGAAGGAAGGTATGCAACACGTTAGACCTGCCAGTGATCACAGAGGCTGCTGTTCCGCTAAAGATTACGAGATTAGGGGGAGGACTGAGGTTGTAAGGGTCACAGGCCCATGTGGACCGTGTGCAGTTTTCCACATATATACATACAGGGAGTGTTGAAGATACAGAGGTGCATTGTGCATTCATTAGATTATGATGCAGACAAATAAGCAGTTTAAAGTGGGGACTTAAAAAACAGGAAAGAGAGTGGGTGGCCTTGTTAGAAATCATGACTGTTTCAGGGGTAATGTGAGTTGTAGGATACATCAGCTGAGAACAGTTGTTGATAGCACACTTAAAAATGAGTGAAGTGAAGAAGTAAAGTGGGAAGTTTTTGGTCATTCAGGGGTCAGCAAAAATGTCAGTTGACTGATACTTGAAGTATGCTTAAGGTTTGGACAAAACTCTCATGTTTTAATGGCTGAAGATTAGCAAGTGCATTAGAAAATATCTGGTTCATTCATATCTGCACATAGACTTTATGGAAGAAGTCAACTACAACTCCCAATAAGCATTTTCATAAGAGCCATCTGATCACAAAGCTTAAAATTGTGTTGGGTGTGCAACTAACAGTGAGCTGAGGTTCCATCCATTCAGTAACTAATGCAGTGACAGAGCATTATGGAATTTGCTTCTTCCCACAATCAATCAATCAAAATCTTTTTTTCCTCATTCTCAGCCAGTTGTTACCAAATCTGTCCTGACAAGACCAACCATAGGGATTTATATACAGTAGGTGCAAGCCTCTTCTGCTGGCGGCTACAAGTATGGCCAGCTGGTATTCAAGTTTCCACTATGTTATTTTAAGTTGTTTCCATAGTGCTTAACTCTATGTTTTAATTTGAAATCACGATACGCCTCTTAAACCAGTGAAACAAAACTAGCCCGTCTTGGAATCTCCATTCATTCTTTAATACACGTCAGATGTTTCCTGAGCCTGCTTCCCTGGGAAAGCTTGTTTCCAGTTAGAAGAGGCTGTACTTTGATGGATATGCTTGAATGAATGAATGCAGCACTCTGCAGTTAATCATTGTAGTGGGCAGTGCAATGGCAGCCGGTATGCTTGGCTGAATTAAAACCATCAAAGGAAATAGACGGCTCGAATGTTCAATGAACTTAGCGGGGAGAAAAGAGGACAACAATTACACTGAACATATCACTATTGTTAGATGGAAACCACATAAGAGGAAAATAGTTTGTCAGGATGGTTTAAATGATTTCTTATTTTCTTAATAAAGAAAATTGATTTTTAACTAGTTTCACAGGCCCCTCGAATCCTGAAAGTCACTAAACACACCAGTTTCCATGTAAACATCCAGTGTAAGTAAGTAAAAGAAAATCCCTATATCTGCATTTAAATGATTTTTCCACGATAGCAGCAGTAGAAACCCTCGACCACTGAATACAGGCAGGTCTATGTCTTGTGGCGGGAGGAGTTTTTCCCCTCAACATCTCACTCCAGAGAGGGAGACCCTGGATAACAGTGTCTATGTTTTCCCTGTCAGCACTATTTGAACGTGGGGTGCTGTATTTGGCAAGTAAAGCATGCCACCGC